AAGTAATCCCGCAATTGTGCCATGAGCACGTTGCAATGCGGTTTCGGCAATCGACCGGACCGGGGAAGGGGCATCCATTGGAAGTCGGCAAATGTCAACGGGTCGAGCTCTTCAAGTCTTGACCATGACGTTGAATCCCCGACGGTAGATAGCGGCGAAGCTGCCGAATCGGTTGCCGATGGTGATGAAACCGTGCATGCGGTAGATTGTTGCACGTGGAGCGGTTGGTCCAACGGTGGGACCAAGTGGACAGCATAGTCATCGTAAGTGTACCAAGGACTTGCGACATTCGCATCCTCCCCAGATGTGTAGGAGGCCGCTAGCAAGGCGGCCGAATCTGGCGGAGTGAGAAGTGGAGTCGCCTCACCTCTTGCGCAACTCAATTTCCCGAGTTGATAAGAGGCCGAACATCCTCCTTGCCTTGATCAGGGCATCGAGAGGTCTTGTGCTTGGTGTTGTTGCACCAATAGCAGCAGCCGTAGCGGCCGCGCCACTTGTATTCTGCCTCGGTCAAGTGAAACTTGACCCATGGTGCTGGCTGTCCGTTTCCGGCCGGCGATGTGGTTTTCGCCTTCCCGTGTCCTCGGGACTTGTTCTTGCTTCGCGGCTGGACAGCAGCCACCTGATCTCCCTCACGTGACGCTTGGGTGGCTGTCGGGTCTTCCACAATGTTGTCCGATTGGACTGCAGTGACATGCTGCGGTCGCGGACCAGTTCTCACCTTCTCCACATAGGTTGGCTGCCATGCTGATTTCTCATGTGCAGCAGCCCTGTTTGTCTTGATGATCTCCCTCGCCTTGTTGATGATTTCAGCGAAGGTGTTGTACTGCTCGCGATCACCAAGTGCGAGGCTCAAAGCGGTTGTATAACTCTCGGGGCAGATGCGGAAATGGTAAATCCAGATCGGGCGTCGCCACGATCTTCTGCCAATCCGTGAGCCAATCACGTGTCGCTGTGTTTCCTTGAGCCATCGTGAAGATGCGGTTGATGGCGAGCGTCGGGGCGTCGTCAACGATGAACCGCTTCTTCCATTCCTTTGTCAAATCCTCCTAGGAGACCTTCTTGTGTAGATCGAAGACCTGGACGCTGTGGACGGTTGCCATATGGCTGAGCCAGATCTGGCATCCTCCCTTGGCGTTAAGGAACAACGCGCCGATGAACAGATGTTCGGGGACCTCATGAATCCCCAACTCCGTTGTGAATCCTTGCCACCAGACGACCAGGTCTTGATGTGTGTAATCATCAAACTTCTCGATCCGGAAGGTGCTAATATCACCTAGCATTGCCACTACGTGATCGACGCGTTCCTCCAGTTGGCGGGCAGAGGGTGCACTGCTGGACTCGCCAGCCTCCGATCTCGGTGCAGTTTGCTCCAAGTCCTGTACACGGGAGTCAAGTGCCCGTGCTGCATCCTCTTGTTGAGCCTTGTGGTTCCGCATGGCCCGCTGCATGTTCACCAGCTCGGACTGCAGGTGGTTACAAGTGTAAACCAACCGAGTCACGAGTTTGGCCATGAATTCCCTGTGCTGCTCTTCCGGTGTCGCGTTGTCGTGCTCTTCAGATGGTTCAAAGTGCCAATACTTGAGCTTTTCGATGCTGGTGGCTTCATGCCGCTGCAGCAGATCCTGGGCTTCCTTGCGGCGTGCCTGGGTATCTGCATCTGCTTCGGCCTGAAGCCGCTGCTTCTCAGCTGTTGCCGCTGCTTCAGCCTGTAGGCGGGCAGCCTCGGCGGCCAGCTGGCGCTGTTCCTCGGCCTCGATCAGTGCTAGCTGAGTCTGGAACCGCTGTTTGTAGTCGGTAATAGACTCGTTGGCCAATTGGCCTGGCATGCCCAGAGTCGGGCCCGTCATGTTGCTGACGTGGCACTGCTGACGTGGCACTGTTGCTGACGCGGCACTGTTGCTGACGTGGCACTGTTGCTGACGTGGCACTGTTGCTGACGTAGCACTGCTGACGTGGCACTGTTGCTGACGTGGCACTGTTGCTGACGTGGCACTGTTGCTGACGTGGCACTGTACCAACCCGGAAATGCATGCAAAGGGGTGGGTGAGAGGAAAACGCGGGTGGGGAACCAACCCAACAATACTTTCCTCCCGGCCCTTCTCAACAGATAAAAAATAAAAAAATAAAAGAGGACTACTTCCTTTTTTTTTTTTTTTGTATATCTGTCGATCTGTTATGAGTGAGACATGTCAGAAGAGTACTATGAGCGAGATCTAGGCTAGGTTCCGCAAAGTTTCGGCTTTCACAAAATGCGATCTTGAAAAAAAAAATTTGTGAGATAGAATAGAGATGCGATTTTCAGAAAAGAACTAAATCCAGTTTCTGAGAATATGGCAACCTCCGAATGTGCCTAACGAAATGTTGGTAGGCTTCGCAAGATTTCGGTTTTCAAAAAAAATTTGCGAGATAGAATGGAAATTCGTATCTTAATGTGCCTAGAAAGCGAAATGTTAACCTCAGAAATTTTCAGCTATGTATTCGAAATATCAGAGAAACGAAATGCTACTATCAGGAATTTCCAGATAAAACGAAATGCGATTATCAGAATTTTCAGATATTTGTTGCGTGAAAACGAAATACTAATATCAGAAATTTCAGGTAAAACGAAATGGGATTATAAGAATTTTTCAGATAGTTGTTGTGAGAAAAGAAAAAAAAAATTCAGAGATTTGACGAAGTCCTACTTGATTTACTAACGAGTAATCACTAGATCAAGCAAGCTGGCTACTTGATTGAGCGGGTCCTGTGAATGAGAGGTCCGCTCCGATACCAAACTGTTGCATACTGTAAAGGTGCAGACCAGAACAAGAACCGACCTCTCTAACAAAGTACAAGATAGCGCAGCGGAAAACTTAGATACCAATGATCCGAACAATCAATATTGCAATGCAGCCCAGAACATACATCATCATCATCATTCCATGGTGTGAAGGGGTCTGGCGCTCACACAGGAAGAATGCGCCAGCCCCAACCATACACAGACGAAGAAGAGGAGGGGTTAGACGAAGAAGAGGGGAAGATGGGAATGTCGTCAACACCAAGTCTTCGGCACAGGCCCAAATAGTCCCTCGTCAAAATGTCTGAATCCCAATGTCGAGTCTGGATAGACTGTCCTCAAGTCTCAAGTCACAACTCTCTCTCTCTGTAGTAGTCCGCTGATACTGAGAAGTCAGGTGGTGAGAGGGGAAGATGAGATGGTGGACTTAGAAGAGGAAGAAGAAGAACTCTCTCTCTCTCTCTCTCTCTCTCTCAGTCCGGTACTAACCTGTGAAGTTGGCGCCTTGATGCAGGTACCTCGAAGATGGAGCTGGAGCTATGGCGCCACAGGTAAGTCCCACTGGCCTCCGCCAGCCATCTCTCCCAACTCTACTACCACTACCACCTACTAGCGCCCAGCGCTGAAGACTACTGCTATGGCTACTAGCGCCCAGCGCTGAAGACTACTGCTAGCGCTAAGCTACTCCTGCAGCGCTCCTCCTGAGTGCTGCGGCCGAAACCTGAAGACTACTCCTGCCTTCTGTCCAACTACCTACCCGTGAAGTGCATGGGAACTCCCTACGTGCTTCTCGGCCTGCCTTCTGACTGCAGGGCGAGGCAGTCCAGGAGGCTGCTCTTGCCAATGCCGCACGGAGTCAGGGGCTGCCGCTGCAGCTCCTGCTTGAGGCTGTCGTGGGAACAGGCTAAAGATAGCCTGTTCCCGAAACCCTGGTTTTGTGCCTGAGTATTAGGGTAGGTCGATCTTATGAGGACCCGAAAGTGGCCCTCCGTTTCAGGCTGAAAAACCTCAGGGCTGAAAAGCCCTGTTTTAGGCTGAAATGACATAGGGCCTGCAGGCCCTTGTTTTTCAGTCTTTCAGGCTGAAACGACAGGGGCCTGTAAGCCCTTATTTCTAGGCTTTTAGGCTGGGAATGCGGGACGGGCCCTGCAGGCCCGTGTGGCTACGCAGTATGCCACACCTGCACTCCACCAACCTCTACTCCCTCGGGTGTCGTCAACCTCTATCAGCACCCAGCGCTCACTCGAATCCTACAGCACCCAGCGTGTCGATTACTGAAGTCTACCTCAATAGTACCTACCGAACTGAGGCTGGACCCAGCTAAATATAGCGCTGGGTCCGCCTCAGCTTCTCGGCCTCTCGATCCTGGGCTGTCCAATCTAATGAACGATTGGCGGCCCTCAATGCCTGAAACACAAACTCAAACTGGCCTGAAAACGGTCTGGCGCCTAACTGGTGGCGCCCAAACGAAACAGTGGCCTGGCGCAAAAATGAAATGTGTCAGGGCCTGTGCTACCCACTACAAGCCTAACTTTACCCTCACCGAAGAGGTACCGGCCTAACCTAGACCTGGTACCGGTTCGACGACAGACTCTAACCAAGACGGCCCTAAAACAGGTCGAAACGACACTGGTCCTAAACAGACCCTAGAAACCCTTCCACACACCTAACCCAACCAGCGGGCCCGATGGGGCCCGTGTGGGATCCGTGCAATGCCACCGTCAAGGTGACAACTCAGAGGGTCACACCATTCACACTTCCTATGATATCCTCATCAGCAACTACACATTTATGCAAGACCAGATGTATTCTGGACATTCAAACAGAATGATAAGTGTCCAGTCAAAACCTTACACGTAACAGCAAATTGTTTGCTTTCTTCTCCAGTTTCAATTCAACTGCTCATACCCTTTCAAAGTGCACTTTGAGAGGTCAGCAAAATTCACCTCCATGCTCAGGAAGATGCTGAAATAAAAGCATGGATCGCCTTAGATTGATGGTGAGGATTAGAAGCATCCTCAAGGGTTTTGCGAGGATTTGAACCCTCGTGCACTGACCCTCCAGTTCACCACCAATGAGCGCCCACAATCACACACCATGCACGAATGAGATCACATGAAGTTCACACCGGAGGCCAGAGAGACGAAGACCAGGTAAGTGCAGCTTTAGAATTCCAACAAATTATCATATGAGCAATTAAGAGTTCCAGTCACAAGCGCTCAACAGCGCAAACCCAAGTAACCAGTATCTCCATTCAGGTAATTATCTCCCTCAATGATCTTCTCTCTTCTCTCTCGGTCTTCTCTCTGTCTACTACCTCCCTGTGTCTTCTCTCCCTACTTGCATGCACTCACACCCCCAACAACTCAAGGACCAATTCTGAATACACCCACTGCTAACTCTACTAACCCCTCTGAGGTCTACTACTAACTACTAGCACTGGTGCAGCTATGGCTGCCTTCCGTCTGCCAATGCTGGGGCAGCTATGGTTGCTCCCGCTCTCTCTCCCTCTAACAGCGCAGCTCCCTGGCTCAGCGCTCCCCCCCTCACAATAGAGCACCAGTGCACCAGCACTTCCACACTTCATGCGAATGAGCAATCTGCCCGAATGAGGAGGCTGGCCAGTCCTTATATTGTCTTGGACTGAGCTTCAGCTCGTCCAAGCCTCTGCTTCTTGGGGCTTGACATGGTTCTGGTAATACGACCTGTTTGCTTCAGAATGTCAGGGCCTGGTACTTTTCCCGCAATTTCATTGGTGTGCTGCTGCTTGGGCCTGTGAGTCTTGTCTTTTCAATTGTGGAACATGACTTTTGACTGTGGATTGTGACTCTTGCCTCTGGGACACGACTTCTGCTTGGGAAAGTGTCATTTGCCTGCAGAATATGACTTTTCAGTATGACTCTTCAATATGAGACGTGACTTTTGCCCCTGGGTTCTGACTGTTCATCGACTGTGACTTCTCTGAAAATGACCGACTTAGCCTTCCTGGCCTAAGACCTTGACCCTGAAACTCGAATTTAGGGTCTGAATCGTAGAAGGCCTTTCACTCTTGCCGGCCTAATTTTGAGGTCCTTCGAGAAAGCTATCAACTTTATCTATCTACTATGTTAATTCCTCTCTTAGCTCTCTCATAATAAGACACAATATGCAGTGCCGTCTCAATTTGTTCATCTTTTGTAAACCTTAAATCTTCTGAAGGTTCCTGATATGCAAATCTAACCTTATCCTGCCGCTGTGGTCTACCCCTGCACCCAGATCTGTAAACGTCTTCCCCAACAATCCAATCTACATCATATTTTCCATCCATATCCGGGGGAATCATAGATCTGCGAGTTGGGAACAGCTCATTACTAACGCAAGGAAGCAACTTTGATGCATGAAACACCGGATAAGTGTGCAAATGTGGAGGAATCTCAACAACGTAGGAAGGACCATCCACATCACCAATCACATCAAGAATCTGCCACGGCCCTCTATAAGCAGGCAACAATCTCTGGGAAATGTTCTCCTCACTGTCCTCAGGGAGAAACTCTTTTGACTTCACCCAGACCAAATCTCCCACAGTGAATTGTGAAGGCCTGTGGTGCTTATTTGCCTGTTCTATCATCTGATGTTGTGCCTTGTTAATGTTCTCTTTAACCTTTTCTAGGTCTTTCTGATACTGAATAGCAAATTCCCTAGTCCCTGGCGGAAGTCTCTGCACTTGATCAGGGTTCAGACAGTCGATGGGTCTACGAGGGCACCATCCAAGATGCAGTTCAGTAGGTGTTCTAGACGTAGCTAGATGCACAGAGTTATTATCGGCACCTGCAACCTTCGGTAGATGTTCATCCCAGTCAATCTGATCTGATCGGATGTACATGCACAGCACTTGCTGCAGCAGCTTGTTCATCTGCTCGGTCTGTCCATTTGTCTCAGTATGTCTACCGGAAGACAGTGTCAGTTTGGACCCGTATACCTTCATCAGTTGCTGCCATTGCTTGCCTGTGAACCGCATATCCCTGTCACTCACAATTGCATGGGTCCTAGGGACCATCTCACGCAAATGTGTACATGTCATGCATCAACTTCACACGCAGTGATCAATAGTATCAACCATAAATAAAGGTAGAGAAGAAGAGGACCGAATTTCACAACTTATATTATCAGAAATATGAATACAAAGTGTTTCAAAGTTCCCCTGAGTCCAGCGCTCATCAGCCCAACACCAATCTCTTATCGACTCATCAATATGGCTTCCAATGTATCAGCGCTACATCTGCAGACAATCTCCAAGTCGTCAATGTGGTCACTACTTCTTCAGCGCCACCTCTGCAGGTCACATCTAACCCAGGTAAGTATCTTCCATAGCCGAACCTTGAATGAACACTTTCAGCCTCAGTCCCTTCCTCCTACGATGCATACACACTCTTCACTCATGAGGATCTACTCTGGATACTACTCATAGCTACATACTAACCCACTACTACTAATGCTAACTTGCTGGGCAGCTATGGCTGCATCACTTCCAGCATACAGGCTTCTCCTTTCACTCATCGCATCTTCTCCTTCCAGCGCTGCTCCTACTGGCTCAACGCACAAGTGCACCAGCACTTCCACGCATTGGCAGCCAGTGGAGATCTGGCGAGGAATGAGGCTGGCTGCCTCTTTTATACTCCTTGCTGGGTCTGCATTGGCTCAAACCAGCCTTCCTTTTGTCCCAGACCCTGCATTGCATGTGTCCCAGTAGAGTCCCAATGAAGTTCAACTGCTGCTGAGGCCTCCCGGCCTGAATTTAGACTTGAARGTCTGGATCTGGACTGACCCCT